TGCGGCCAGGTAAAAAATTCATGAAACTCGTTATTCTTTGCTGACTTCGTTTATAGAATTGGGCTTGGCTGTCAATTATATGCAACAAAGCTTTACACCCCCACCTGTTGAGCGCACGTCCCGGCCAGAAGGTTCGCGTTCGGTATCCCGTTCTCGGCAGGTCAGCCCACCAGATCCCAAGGAGGTTCATCGTACGTTTCAAGTTGTTTTCTCATTTCCCATGATTCTCAACTTGAAAACTTAGTTGACACGGCGCTCTATCAGAAGAAGATTGACTTTAGGTCCTTGAGCCCCCCACCGAACTTCGACATGCAGACGATGCAGCAGGAGATCAGAAGACTTGCTCATGGCCAAGCCGACCTCCTGCAGAAACTCCGAGACCAACAAGCGCAAGTCAGCGTCATGGAGTCGTCTACCCCTACTATGCGAGAGTATTCGGCATTTGTGGTCCGAAAACAAGATATTGACGCAAGTGCCCTTCTCCCCCCGGCGGTTGACTCACCCGTGACCCTGTCACAACGTCTTTTGGCGCTCGAAGAGATTACCTGGTGTATTCAAGATCAAGATTTGGCTAGCCGTCCTCTGTCGGAGAAAATTGCAAGTCTAGAGACCTCCGTTTGGTTTCAGGAAGAAAAAATCACTGGAGCGACTCGCCGGATGGACCGTATTGAAGAGTCTGCCCACATGCGTTGGAAGGAAACACAAGAAGATTTGCAGTCCATCCGAAGTGATCACCAGAGACTGGAAGCCGAGGTGAGGGAAGCCGTCAAGACACTGGAGAACAAGTGGGAGACTACGCCAGCTGCGTTACAAGAGAGTCTCACCCGGGGCTTTGAGAAACTTGCAAGCCGCATCGAAACTGCCGAGCTAACGCTCCACGACCTCACCAAATCAGTCACTACTATTTCGGAGCTCAACCTGCGGCTCGGTGCTCGCCAATCAAGTCTGGAATCGCTCATTATCCAGTTCCTCGGCAACAAGGAGAAGAAGCACACTGGCATCAATACCGATCGCTCAGTCTCACCCGACCGCGGTCAGAAAAGCCAGCAGGTACAAGTCTCCCCGACCCCGGGTGTCGTTCTGCCAAACCCAGTTTCAACCGATCACGCGCAAGTCTCTCCAACCCCGGCCGTCTTTCTGCCTCCAGCATCTGAGAGCCCAGCGGTCCTTCTGTTGG